CAAACAACAATGGCAGACCATTACGTCTTACCTTCAGGGGTCAGTTTGCACACACCACCACAACATATTCTTTAAGGTCTGATTAAACCTCTCCACTACCCCATTGGTGTGGGGGTGATATACCATTGTATGCAGGTGTCTAAGCTGCAACATCCCACATAGACTTTGCAGGACCCCGGACATAAAGTTAGACTCTTGATCCATGACAGTCTCCTTCAGGATGCCCACCCTGGTGATCCATTTTAAAAGCTCTTCTGCCACCCAGCGTCCCGTGACCATTCACATGGGGACCGCCTCTGGGAACCTGTTCGCATAGTCTATGATAACTAGCAAGTACTGATGCCCCGCCGAACTTTCAGAGAGGGGCCCTACCACATCCAGCGCAATACGTGAGAACGGGACTTCGATCATGGTCATAAGCTGTAAAGAGGCCCGTGCCGGCTTACTCATACTCACTCTCTGGCATGCCGGACAGGCTTGGCAAAACCTCTCCACCTGCTCATACAGCCCTGACCCAAAGCACCATTTCATCAACCGAGCTTCTGTCTTACAGTGCCCCATGTGTCCCCCTAACGGATTCTCATGGGCTAACTTAAGTAGGGGAAGCCTAAACTGAGCTGGTATTAACAGCTGAGCTACCTCCTTCCCCCCTGGTGGACCCCACTTCACCCAATACAACAACCCTTTTCTGACCTCAAACCGGGGCAGATCTGCATAGCGCCCTGGGTCCACTACTTCCTCTTCCCTTCTTGTCAATTTGGTTTCCTGAATGGCCTGAAACTCCTCCACCTCCTGGGCCCTTTGAAATGTCTGACTACACGCTAGTTGTTCTACATCGAAATCTTCTTCATGGAGGTCTTCTGCCTGGTTCCCTGACAGGCTGACTCCCCTCCCCCCTCCCCCCAGGCTACCACTTCTTATTACATTTAAGACTTCATAAATCTTGTTCCAGTCTCGTCCTAGAATCATAGGGTATGGCAGGTCATGGGCCACCCCAATTGGCATTTCCCAAGTGGTATTCAACACAGTGACCTGATAGATCTTCCAGGAGTAATAAGTACCATGTCCATGTATACAGGTCATCCTCACAGGGATGGCTTTCTGGAGATAGGTGCTGGGATCAGCCTGCTTTGTATGAAGGTGTAGGAGCAACTGGTGTCTACAGTTGCTTCCAACCTCTCGCCCCCAACCCAGGCTTCCACCACAGGACGGGACCAAGGACAAAACCTGCTTCCCTATGCTACAGTCCCTAGACTCTATTCCGACTGAATCTGCAGGGCCTGATGGCACACCCAACTCTTCAAATGGAGAATGCATCGCTCAGGAAGTGGTTCATGGCAGGTAGGCACAGTCTCGGGACATGTGCCCCACTTTCCCACATCAAAAGCAGATCACGCCATTGCTGTTAGGCTTCCTAATCTCTTGGAGTTCCTGACTCCCTGGTTTAGCAGGGTCACAGGGTTTTGAGTACCTCATCACCCTCGGATTCCGGTCTGACAGTTTTCCCCCTAGGGCACTGCTAAACTTTTCAGCTAGCTGCAGTGCTTCTGTGGAGGACCCCGGCCTATGACAGTGGACCCACTGCTGGGTCTCTTCATCTAAATCAAAAACTGTTCCAGTAGGATCTTGTCACAAATCTCATTTTTAGAACTCTTTACTGGCCTCAGCCACTTGACTGCCAGGTCAGCCAGCTGCTATAGCAAAGCCCATGGCTCTTTTGCTTCCCTCTGCTTCCTCGCCCTAAATGTCTGCCGGTAGGTTTTGGGGTTGATGTCCAGCTGGTATAAGATTTCCATCTTGACTTTCTCATAGTCCCTGGCTTCATCCCACCTCATGGATCCATAGGCTACTTGGGCCTTCCTTATTAACAAGACCCCCAACTGCCCAGCTCATCGGGACTTCTCCAGCCTGGCCGCCAAGGCGGCCCACTCAAAACTTTCCAGGAATACCTCTGGGTCATCATGTATCGACATCTTCGGTATTCTCAATTTGACCACATTCCGCTGGTGCCAAGCTTGTTGCTGGATCTAGCTTTCCTCCAAAGCCAACTGTCACGCCGATTGCTGCTCCTGTTGCTGGAGGACTTGTCCCACCAAGTGTAGTGTCTGCTGGGCAGGATCCACGCCGGCTGCCAGCGCCGCCATGGGAACTTCCATTCTCTCGGTTTCCTCTCGGCTGTCGTTGATATTCCCAGCCAGTGCACCAGCTTGTCGGGTAGTCACTGGATACGGGTGTGTGCCTTTGCGCCTGGTTGGCATTCACTGGTCCTCTCCCACGTGTCATGACCCTCTGTCGGTCTGCTTGGGGTGGCTCTCTCTCTCTCTATTTCCGCCTGCCATGACTTTGATGTTTTGAGGATGTAAAAGAAAAGGGAGGGGTGATGACTTCCCTGCCCCAACCTCAACTGACCGCTGGTTCACGCCGCTGAGTTCTGTGCCGGCGAAAGACAGAACAAAAAAAACAAACCAAAAAAGAAAATGTATTGACCATGCCGAGTCCCCTTCCTGATTGTCGGGGTCAAGACAACCCCTTCTGCTTTGCTTGCCTTCTCCCAGGTGCTTGACTGTCGGTGCCACAGGCAAATGGGTTTTTGGTTGGTTTTTTTCCTTCCCTCTCTAATTGCCACCGCACCCAGCTTAATTGGCTGCCCGCGACAGTTAATCAGCGCACACACAAAAACAAGCCGAGAGTGCCCCTTTTCTCTCTCTCTCTCACTCTTCTTTTCCTTTTAATGAGGACTCCTCTGAGCCCACAAAACCAGATCAGTCTCTTGCCCCATTCCCAGGGACTTCAGTCTCAGGCTGGGTATGGCAACCGTCCTACCTGCCTGTCATCTTCCATGCTTACTCGCTTCTCCTCCTCAGTTCCCTGCTCGGCCCTGGATATTGACCCGGCCACTGATTCCCACCAATCCGCCTCACTGAACGAGGTGGTAAAGCAGGTCTGGGGCGGACTGGGAGCTCCCGCTGTAGTGTGGAGGTATTATTCTGGCCGGACCTATGCTCATGGTATCCTCTGGTTCTTCACACCCCCCACTTCAGGAAGGATGTGGAGAAGCTTGAGAGAGTCCAGAGGAGAGCCACTTGAATGATCCAAGGCCTAGAGGGAAGGTCATACGAAGAGAGGCTGAGGGACTTGAGACTCTTCAGTCTGGAGAAGAGAAGGCTCAGGGGGGACCTGGTGGCAGCCTACAACTTCAGAAGAGGGGTACATCAGGACCTGGGAGAACACCTGTTCACCAGAGCTCCCCAAGAGATAACAAGGTCTAATGGCTATAAACTCCAGGAAGGACGATTTAGACTAGACATAAGAAAAAAGTTCTTTATAGTGCATGTGTCCAGGGTCTGGAACAAAATCCCCCCAGAGGTGATGCAAGCACCTACTCTGGACTCCTTAAAAAAACAGCTGGATTTATTTCTTGCTGGGATCACTTGATCCCAGCGGACTTCCCACCTATGGCAGGGGGCTGGACCTGATCTTATGAGGTCCCTTCCAGCCCCTAATGTCTATGAAATCTATTAAATGAATCCAAGTAGAAACATAGCTTCCAGTAACTCAGATGCATGATCAAAGTCTCCCCAGCCACCCCATTTGCTCTAAGGTTTTTCTCTGATATTGCTCTACCCTGTACCCTATTCCAAACCTACTCCCTGTAGTTAATTAAGTTCTCCTCTATACCTAGCGTGGGAGACTTATTGGGAGAGGGTCTAGATTATGTCTTGGGGTTGCCTTGGTCTGGCTGACTAAAGGAGACCACTGTTTGTGCTTCAGACTAAGGGAAGCACCCCAAGTTCTTGCAGTGAGTCGAGTACCCCTTTCAGGTCCATAAAGCCTGTGTACCTCACGAGGCACAGAGCCACTAACAGACTGAGACTCGTGAGTGGTGGCAGTGCTACCCCTAGGCTTGTGGGTGTGCTCCAGGAAGGGAGTTTCTAGACATGAGACGCCCCTGGGGAGGCACTCAAGAGCTTGGTAGGTGGTTGGGCGCAGTGAGGTGGGTAGCTCAGCGTAGGAGCACCCCCTACTGGCCTGCTACAAGGCCTATAAGATATAGTGTGTGTGTGTGTGTGTGTATATGTGTGTGTGTGTGTGTGTGTGTGTGTGTGTATTTTACTTTAATAATGCCAGTAGATGAAAAGTTTAAATTAATTTCTTTCCTTTTTCTTCATGATCAGGAGATAACTTTTTTCCTACTGCCTGATCTGTCCTAGCTCCTGGCAATGGGAGTTCAACATTGTGCCCACTCCTTTCTTCTAAATGAGAAAAAGCAGACCAATGGTTCCATTATAGCTGCTCATCTCCCTTGCTGTTACCAAGGAGAAGCGCAGCAAACGTAGGCATCTATGTGAGTGCAAAGATGGACAATCTGGTTCATGCACTGTCTCCCTACATATGCCATTGTAAACAGACAATACAGTCTTTTAAACTAAATACAGTAAAAGCCGTGTTATCCCGCACTTTATTAACTGGCATGCCGGTTGATGCGGCAAAAATGAAACCAGAAATCCCACTTCCAGTTTTGCCAAGTCCCACTTTGCCATGGCCTGGGCCAAAGCAGCCTGCGCAGGGCCTCCCTCCCTGTTCCCCGGCACACTGACACCTGTGCAGGACCCCTTTCCCTGTCCCCCAGCACACCAATGCCAGGGAGTGAAAGCCTGGAGTGAAAGCCTGGAGCACCGGATGCGGCGGGAGGGGCGGTGGCCTGACCAGGCAAAGACGCCTCTCAGGTAACCAGCAAATTTGGTTATCTGGCACCCCTCATTCCCTATGGGTGCCAGATAACAGAGCTTTTGCTGTACTAATGAAAAATCACATAGGAACCATAGCTATGTTTACTGTATTTATTGATCTATATGTATCTGTATTTCTCAGGCTAAAATTAATAGGGTCAAATTAACCACATTGAAAAACCTCACATAATGAACACGTTTGACAACATTATTTATGTATTAAAATTTGAAATAGCATTATACAATCAGTGACTTATTTCTCCATTTCAGTTCTACGAATAGTTTGATGAAAACATGGACAATCAACAGGATGGCATTAACAGATCAACTTGCAATGGAATTTCTGTTCCTGAAAAGAAAATAAACTCCTTAGTGGCTGAAGGTCATGGGATACAAATTTTAAAAGTACTGCAAAGGTTCAGAGAACAAAATATTTTTTTTGACTTTAAAATACTTGTGAAAGATGAAATTATTCCTTGTCATCGTTGCGTGCTGGCAGCATGCAGTGACTTTTTCAGGTAAAGTTGCTTGTAGTATGATTTTGAAGGGAATGGATATTTTTAGGTTCTTG